AAAGCAAATAGAACCCAGTGATGTTCTCTGCTGTGGATGCGGTGCGACACGACAAATCCATGACAGTAGACTGATGTCGCGACGAACTCCAGCACTCTGACACAAAGAACAATTTCAATTATTCATAAGAGAATCGTGAAAAAATAGTTTCCTCAAAAATATTAAGCAGCACAAATGTTTACAACATTGATAATAATGAGAAGTGTTTCTAGAGCATCAAATAAGTATATTAGAATGATTTCTGAAGATCATGTGACACTGGAGTAATGATGCTGAAAATTCAGCTTTGATCACAGGAATAGAGTAACCTATATGTTAAAACATTCAAATAGATCATTTAAATTGACAATATTACAGTGTTTACTGTATTTTTAATAAATGAATGTAGCCTTGGTGAACATAAGAGCATAATTCATTAATTTAATTGAATTTAATTCATACAGGCCTACCTCATGTTGCACGTTTGCACGTTTTTTTTTAGAAAAACAATGGCACAATAAAAAAAGACTTTTCATGTCTATGTCCAATCCCTCACTTTTTCTAGTTATATAAGGTTAAAATGTCCTTTTTTCCCCCCCGCAATATTATATCGATATCGCCTGGACAGTGTAAAATATCGTGATATGAATTTTAGCTCATATCGCCCACCCCTATTATTCGCTGCCTGCCCTGATCATCGCCTGTGTTTTGGATTATTTTCTTGCCTTGCCGCTTTGGATGTTGTTTGCTGCTGATCTACTCTTGCCTGTATAACGGATTACTCTTTTGTCTTGCCCTGTCTATGTATATTTGACCCCTTTTTTTTTCCCAGAAGAGCATTTCATTTTCTTTCTGCATATCCATTATATCATAATGAACTTAAGAGATTTGCCCAAAGCTTCTGTGCTGAAAGAATATTATTTTACTATGCTTTCAGTCTAATCTATCTCAATCTTTTCAGAAATAATTCAGAAAGATATTTTCCTGCATGTCACTCAAAGAGTTCCTTTTCTTTGGCAGAGTCTCCAGCCATATTTTTCTGCTTTTTGGGATGACTTTCGCTTGGTGTGCTCAGACAAAAATCACAATTTACTCCGTTTGCTCTATCAGTGTTGAAATTTCTATCACTACACTAAGATTAGCAGCCTCTGCCATTCTTCTGTAAATTAGTTTGGAACTTTATGAAATGTTTATTTTCGTTTGTGAGGAAAATCCTGACTTTGTTTCTCAGCTTAGAGAAAAACAACCCTTGAGCCAACCATCTTGAGCCCAGCCCCTTTCAGCATTATCCTGAACATCATAAGTGTTTGTTTCATGTCTCCTACAATGGATGAGAAGCTATCAGGAGTGCGTGTAAATGTCACACTTTTTTGATCTACCGGGCAAAATGTGTCACATTTAATGTCCAACAACAAGTATTTTAGCAGAATGCATATTTTATTCAGAATTATTGCACTATTATTGTATTGCGTTCCATCTGTTTAGCGCGCATGCGTGCAGCAGCTCTCGTTCACTCACATAAGCCTCGCCCACTCCTGACAGCAAAATGGATATATTTGCATGACTTTCTAACATTTTACAGATGAAAAATATACCTGTGACATGTCAGTTATGAAACGTATATAAAACACAATGTCTCAAATATTCGTTGTTTGCCATGGTGGATCGATTTAATCCTTGATCGACCTTAAAGGGTTAGTTCACCCAAAAACTAAAATTAGCCCATAAATTACTCGCCCTCAAGTCATCCTTGGTGTATATGACTTTCTTCTTTCAGACGAATCCAGTCGGAGTAATTAAAAATTGTCT